ATGCGCCTCGCTGTACCGCGAACTCTTGCTATAAGCGGGGTGCATCGCCGTCGGCGGCCGTTGAATATCCGGCATGATTGGAGAATTCGTCGAGCCGACCGGGACGGGCTTGCTGATGGTGAGTTTTGACTTGCGGAAGTTCATCATGGTCGTCAGCCGCTTAAACGCTGAAGGGCTGGTCACTCCATCATCTTCCTCTTTCTGGTGGCGGACTGAATTATTGCGGGAGGTATAAGCAGAAGGCATGTAATCGCTCGCATAAGACTCGTAGTACTCCTTGTTGTTGATGTTCGCCGGAGTAGCCAGACTGCCGTCTGACCTAATCATGCGGGCGGTGATACCGTTGGGGCCGTCCCGGAAGATGAGGGAAGCCAACATGTTGAACGCGCCAAAAGTGATGGCCAGAATACCGGAGGAAATGATGAGGCGCCACATCTCCAGACCGAGGTTTTCAACGGCATAGGCGGGCTTGACGAGGTCGGCCATGATGGAGCACCCGATGATTACCTGGGCGAGGCCGAGCCAGCCCAGCGAGTGCTCGGGGCCGATGATGGGGAAGTTGGTGGCGAACCAGCGCTTGAAGAGGCCGATTTCGGAGATGACGAGGACGATGGAGATGGCGAAGACGAAGAAATGAGACAGAACGTCGAAGAATTGGAAATGCTGGGTGATGCCGGAGAGGACGATCATGACCCAGCACGCGGCCATTACGACGACGAGGCCGACGACGGTGAAGGCGCGGAGGGCGTTGAGGACCAGGTGGCCGGAGCCACGGACTTTGGAGTGTTGGCCTAGGTTGAACATTTTGTCGTTTTGGGGGTGATGGTAAGGGTGGTAGGGGGGATGTCTGTGATGGGAAGGGTTAGCATGGTTATGGGGATTGCGGTTGCGGTTGTCTAGGTAGATGGAGACGTTTTGGCGGGGTGGTTCAGCGGTTCTCATGGGGGGAGGAGGTGGTCGAGGTGGAGGCCGGGGATGTTGCTGAGGAGGAGGAGGGGGGAGAGTAGGGTTCCTCCTGCTCGTCTTCCTCGTCCTCGTCCTCGTCCTCGTCCTCGTCCTCGTCCTCGTCCTCTTCCCATCCCTCTCGGTCCTCTTGGGGATACATCTCAGGAGGGTGGCCCTGCGGGGGAGGTCCGTAGTGTTCCTGAGGCTGGCCCCCGGGAGGTACAGCAGGCATCTGAGGATGCTGTTGAGGATGGGGAGGAGGCATGGGCGGAGGAGGCTGAGAATATTCCTGAGGCATCGGTGGAGGAGGCTGCTGAGGATATTCCCGAGAACCTGCTTGAGGAGGTCCCGGAGGATATCCAGGAGGCATCGGTGGAGGCTGCTGTGGAAATCCTTGCTGCATGCCAGGGGGAGGGCCTTCCTGAGGCCCGTATCCGCTCATCGCTTGCTTCCCTTCGTGATGTTTTTGGTGTATATGGGTTGGACTTCTCGAGGACACATACAGTTCCATGAACAAGAATGTAGAGTACTTACACTTTGAAGTGGCTCGTGCCAGTTAGTGGGTGATCAACTGCTCTGCAGGCGGTGTGATATGTAGAAAACGTTTGGATGATGATCTGCTCGCAGATTCTGAAGCTGTAGATGTATCGAAATAGGTGTCGAATATTCGAGTTTCAAGCGAAAGAAATTTGAAACGAAAAAGATGGAAAGAGAAACGACTCAAGGAAATATTTTGAAACGAGATATGTTGTGAATAGCCAGACCTGGGCTTTCTGTATGTAGTGGACGTGACGACAAGAAAAAAAGAAAAGGAGACAAGAGATCAATACAACATACCCATTGTCTGGAGTAGACAATAGTGCACAAAGAGGGTGTGATGGACCAAGAAGAAAACCCTCGAGTGTGAGAGGTGGCAAGTGAATCTATTATAACAATAGAAACAGCATACCACCTGGTTTTGTCAGTTCATAATTAGAACAAAGACAATGGAACTGTCTCTTGACAGCCGGCAACCTTGTTACAAGGGGGCATGCAGCGAAGAACTGGTTCGTAGGTTCTTCTCGTGCGTGTTTCGCATTGAGCAAGAAAATGTGTTTCTTGCCATTCTGACCAATGAAGCTGTAGCCGCCAGAGAGGTCTCACGCCAGACTGGTCCAGAGCAGATGATGTTGCTGCCCGTTTCATGAGCAAGGGAGCAGATGCGTAGTGTCGAGCCCCACGCGGGCGACTGCTCAAAAGCCGAATTCCCTTGCGTCTTCCGGTCCCCCGCGTTCCCTCGAGGTTATTCACTGATGATGGATTGGGGATAGCGCACGTGAAGAGTGGGCAGAACCCAATGAATGGGCGATCGTAGTTGCCAGCGCATAACAGCGAGCTGTGGATCGGTGTCGTCCAATGAATTGGTAGTCATCGATTCAAGCGAGAACGACAAGCGTCGCTATTCGTAGATGATCCAGCGATGCACATTGCCGGTAGAAAACTGTCCGGGGTTGCGATGTCGCATCTTCAAGTGGGAGAGCGGTTGAGGCGTCGATTGGCTGGCAGCGCACCAAGACGGTTTCAGGTGCTTTTAGCCTTGGCCAGCACCAGAACTGGTCCTTTGTGTCTCTGCATCTGCCAAACCGGACGTCTTTCTTTCCCGGATAGAGAGATGATGAACAGAGCTTCTGCTGCAACGGAAATCGATGTTCTCAAGAGCATCTCATCGACGTGGCAAAAATTGACGATTTGCTAAATGTTAGTTTGTATTAAAGAGTGCCATTCCCGTCTGGTGGGGGTCAATCGTGAATGCCCAGAACCACATGGCTGAGCGGATGATCGACAAACATCAAAATCGCCTGGAGCACAGACCACTTGCCGCATCGAGAACATATTTCATATCCAGATCCCAAGGGTCATGAAGCGATCATGTGTTTATGCGGCTAATTTTGTATTTTCTCCGGTGATATTTGACAATAACCTTATGATGTAAAACCTGGCATGTTCGTGTGATAAACTCGAGGAAGGAGTCGGGTCAATCGCAAGCCAACCCTTTGTCCTCGGGTCCCAGCGAGACATGGGTCATGACCAAGACCAATTTGAAAGCCGTCCGTCATCTGGCAGAATCATATATGCCAGTACGAAGAAAACAAAACAATCCAGAACAAATTTCATTTCAAGTTATTTTCGGATCATCGCGTTTAAGCAAACAGCTTTCCAACATTCTAAACGCCGACAGCTGCGTGGTAGGTACCACCGATCCGCGCGTGTATCGGTTCCTGGATTCGAGCTGAAATCGTTGATTGGCTGACAACCCCCGCCCTGCAAAGACATTCAAGCATTTGCTCAGCTCCACAGTTCATGGAAGCGCCCAGAAACTCGGACCAATTCCGTCGGCCCAAACTTTTGGCAGCGCTGCACAGCCTCGCCGAACCCGTGAACGGACCACCACTGACACCAAAGAGAAAGAAGTGGGGGGGGCAGGCAGCCTTTTCCCTTTTGCTGACCACCCCTTGTTGGGAGGACAGTTCAACTTGTTCAACCAACTCCAAACCTCTCCTCATTCACTCCCCGCTTTCGCAAACGAAACCCACACCGTCACGTCACATTCAGCTTTACGCGCTCGGTCTTGCGAAAGGTCTACGGGCACACTCCCTCCCTTAATTCCCTTCAGTTAACCACAAATTCGAGATGGCTCGTGGCAACCAGCGCGACAAGGCGCGTGAGGCCGCCCAGAAGAAGTTGGCTAATCAAGTATGTCACTCACCACACGACCTCTACGATCTCGTCCGCAACCACTCCTCCCCTTCGCAGCATCATAGCTAATCAGTTTCAACCGAATAGAAAAAGGGCCATGGCATGAGTGGTAGCGAGCTAGCAAAAGCCAAGGAGATTGCCGCGCAGAAGATGCGCGAGAAGCAGGCCGCAGGTACATAACATCCCCTCTGCCCACCCCTTTCTCATCTCTCCATTCGCAGTGTCACTAACCACTGTTCATCATCACAGCCGATGCCAAGAAGAACGGCAACGCTCCCGCTGCCGCCAAAGCTTAGACAACCCACCGAGTCATTTTTCGACCTCACCAGGATACACTAGACTTTCACTATCCTTACCCACACACACAACACACTACACATCTCTTTTAGGCATTGCGAGGGCGGGTAGGGGGGTCGACGAAACGGGAAACTTTTGATTTTAGCGATTACACGGAGTCGGCGAGCTAGGGTAGGGCAGCATACTGAATTTCATTGGAGAAGGGCTGGGTCAAGTGAAAGAAGGATAATGATGACAAGAGATTTCGTTTTGTCTTACACCAGGATCCCTTTTCGGCGTCCAATCTCAGGAAAAAAGAATGGCGGGCTGTGATTTATGGCGTGAGGGCGATGGTTTTTTCATCTACTACTACTAATACACGGAGTGCTATCTATCCCCTTTCTACCCGGTGTTCAAGTGCAATACACCCTTACTAATTCATGCGCATGAAGGGCGGACAACGAAGGGGATATGGAAGACAGACTTCGAGGCAGCCTGGTAAAAGGCAGCGTTTGCGCCACCGATCCCAAACGAGAGTCACACGAACGACGACCAAGCTGGGCAAACAAACGGTAGCCGCAATCAACACAAGCATCACACTCTCACTGCATTTGCTTAAGAAGAGCAGGAGAGATGAAAAAGGGGCACTGGTGTATCCCGCCAAGTCAAAAACCACTCATACATGCAGGTCGCTTTCCATAACGCCATCAACATCCAAGATACGCCTCCAACTCCGAACTGTTGAGCCTTCCCCCTTCACTTCTTCTTTTCAACCATTGAAAAGGATCCCCCAAATGAAACCAGGGGATCCCGAAGGTAGATAGCCGCAAGGCTTCATCCTCAATTCCGTTCCCAGCAAGCAAAAGGTCAAATTCAGGGTTAGGGCTGACACTTACACAAAAGGGGCTCAGGGGTTAAGGGTCACCCCGGTTCAGTTCACCTAACCCACTTACTTGCCCACCACCCACATACAAAAAGTTTCCAAAGGCAAAAAACTTGTCGAAACACAATGTGAATTGTATTTCTTTTGAGAATATGAAATCCGATCCGCCCAGGGGTCGAACCTGGAACCTCCTGATTTTACATTTAATTAATCGTAGTCAGACGCGCTGCCATTACGCCAGCGGACCTTGGATGTTTTGAACTGTTGAAAGTCCTGGCCAGCCCAGAGATTTAAGGAAGGTTGGGGCAGCAACAACATCGAATATTTTCATAAAATATTCTACACGCAGAGTAGGATCTTCTCTAGTTAGATATGAGAATCATCTCATCTGAAAAAAAAAAAAAAAAAAATTTTTAAAAAAAGACCAGAAGGTCGGCGTATGAGGTGTTTCCTCTTAAACCTCCTTTCTGATCAAACCTGGTGTGCTTGACGATTTGTTACCTTCGTATGCATGACCTCCCTGGTCTAGATACTTGTGCTGAGTTCCAGCTCGCGACAGATGATTTCAACTTCCAAGTCTTCTACAATTGAACCAAAATGCCAACAAAATAGATAACTTTTAGGGTATCCCTCTATCTAGTCCCTAGGTCACCCATGTTCCCCACACCCACATACAAGAAATATTTTAATGGCACAACCACATCTGGCTCTGCTTCTCCCCCTCCTCCTCCTCCTCCAGTCCCCACGTAATCTTGATATTCAACCCCCTGTGATGACCCTCAGGAATCGCATACTCAATCTCCCCCGAAATCTTTGTGCCAGCCTTGACCGCAACCTCCTTCGCCTTGCTGCGGTCAATGAGCATCAGTCCCTGCCGCCAGTGCGTCTCCTTGTCAAACGGCCCCGTGGTAAACGCCACCCTTTCTCTACCAGCGGCCTGCCACTCCTTCCACGTAAGGGACGGCTCGACAAACTCTTTTCTGCTCTCCGCGAAAAAAGTGTCGAACCAGATCAGGAACCCATCGAGATTCTCCGCTTTCTCCGAAATCGTCGACGCCCATTTTTCGGTAAAGACAAGGTCTTCCTTGGTGCAAGTATGCAAATCCAACATGCGGAAACACTGCGCGGTACCAGCCACCGCGTCCGCTGGCATGTGCTCGATGCGGCTGTTGACGTAGGTACCCTCCTGCATGGCCTTCATGTCGAATCCGTAAACGTCGCGCCAGAAGGTCATGTTTTCTGTCACGTACTCGCTGTCGGACACAGGGGCGATCCACATGGACGTGTGCGACGGCACGAGAAGACCAGTGTCGGGTTTCAGGTAGCGGTCCCGAGCGTAGAGGACGGAGGGAAGCATGGCCTCGTAGAGCAGGCAGTAGCCCATCCACTCAGAAACAATAATGTCGACTTGGTCGACGGGGAGGGTGACTTCTTCGATCTTGCCGCGGATGCAGGTGATGATGCTGTCGAGGCCGTTGTTGAAGATGTTCTCGCGGGCCTTGTCGAGGATGGCCGAGTTGTCGACGGCCAACACGCGGGCGGCGCCGGCCTTGGCGCAGAACATGGAGAGGATGCCGGTGCCGCATCCGATGTCGAGGACGGTTTTGCCGGCAAAGAGGTGCTTGTTTGTGTAGATGAAGTCACGGTAGGCTTCGGTGCGGATTGTGTCTTTGAGCATGGTTTCGTGGATTTCTATATCTCTGTTGGTTTGAATGAAAGACTGGAGGAAAAGGGGGGGAGCAAGGGGAAGGACGAACCGTTGTGGGCGTAGGATTCAAAGTAGTAAGTGGCTTCTTCGGGCTCCTTCTTCTCGCCGTTTACGGATTTCGAGGTGGCGGTCTTGGAGGACTCGGGCTTGTCCTTCTCGTCGTCTTCGCCCCAGCGCTGGTCGAGGGTTTGTTGCACGGCCAGGCGGTAGTTGCTGAACTGTTGGGATAGTTTTTCGAGCTCTTCTTGGAGTTGAGCGTTCTTTTGGAGGAGCTCGTCGACGGCGGGTTTGTCTTGGGATTTGGACTGGTCTTGCTGTTTCTGACCAGGCTGGGGGAGGTCATCGAGGCAGAGGATGAGAGCGTCGTCTTCCAAGACGGGCTTCAGGAGGGACTCGTCTTCGAGGTCTTCCTTCTTGATGCTGTCGCCGTTGACTTGTTGGCCCTCGTGAACTCTTTGGCGGACTATGAGATTTGTGAGTCAATATTGGAGTTCATCTCATGTTTGGTAGGGGAGAAACCCACTCAAGTTGATGAGCTTAACAGACCCATGGAAGTCCAGTCCCAAGCGGTCTTGGATACCGATAAAGTCCAGGCCGTATTTCTCCTTGCAGTAGTTGATCATGGACAGAGCATCGTCAAAGACCCTATCGTCGAGCAGGGAGATGACCTGTACCGTCTCAGCCTCGCTGAAGTCGTCGCCATCGTCCTGGTCGGCCTGCAGCCAGTTACCAGCATCGGAGTTATCCGAGGAGGAGGCTGATGAGACGGATGGGGGGTATGCTTCCGCCATTGTTTTTGTCTTCAAGATTCAACTGAAATGTATGGAGCGTAAATAAGTACAATGAGTCTATCAAGGTACTTTCTCAAGGTTCTTTTTGGTGCCTGGACAAGACGAAAAACGCTAAGCTGAATTTTATTTCAACGGTTGTGTGGACCAAAATTTTTGGAGGGGTACCTTATCCATGAAGGTGCATGAGAAGGGTGAAAAAGTGCGGGGGAGCTTGCATGAACGTTGGGGATCCTGGACGGAAGATAACCCTAACCCTTTTAGTCGGTTTCCTGGTTAACCAGGGGGGTATTTGCCCCTTTTTGCTTTTCGGACTCATGAGTCCATCTCATAGTTCGAGTAATTGAGTGGGACGGGGAGTCAAATAAGCAATACTCGGTGGTGTAGTATGGAACGACAGTGTAATGTTGTTCAAGAGGTGTTTCCGAAAGCCGACTTGACCCTTGCGGCGAATAACTTCAACACTTGGTTGACTTGATTGTGTTCTAATACAGCAAAGATTCAAGAGTAAATTACTCCTCACGATTCACAAAATGATACACCGCTTCGCCCCAAGCCTTCTACTTGTCAACTTCCTTTCTCTCCACCACCAACCGTTTAGCACAGCAACACCTGGTCCACCAATGGCAGTGACTGCTGGCAAAGTGAGGAGAGCAGTCAGCAGCTCCTGACCCTGAATCACACCCCCAGCATACATATCCAAAAATAAGCCAGCCATCCAGGCCAAACTCCCTCCAAACGAAGACAGCAGGTCAAACTGAAGAGTCCTCCTGGCATGTAGACCCAACTCCATCGGAGCCTCATCCACCCTGATCGGAATAAATATCCCTCGTCCTGGAAAGGGCGAACAAAGCCAAACATAAGCCCAAACGCTGAACGACAGGATCGAAACCGCGATAGAAAGCGCCTTAGCCGAGAATAATGGGCTCGTCTTCAGTGAGCTGAACCCAGGCACGCGAAGGAGTGTCAAGGACAAGACCACATTGAGAAAGCCAATGACAAAAATCATCGGTTGCCAAGTAAAGTTGTATCGGTACCTTGCCATCGGGTCAGGTGCAAAGTACATCAGAAACACCAAGCCATTGTGCAACACCAGAAGCAACGGCAGGTAGAAAGGGATGTACTCCTTCTTCAGCGACCGCGCCTGGGAGTTGCTGGCTAGTTGCGATGCCGTAGGACTGAAGACAAAGTAGAGGAAGCAGTAAATGGGAGCCAAGAAACCAATGCCAAGTAATTGTGAGGCATACCCCCATAATGTAGCCCTGTGTGAGATTCGCCATCAGCTTATGGATCGTGAAAGGTAAAACCAACAGACGCACATGTAAGCAGGTGTCCAAGCATTCCCCCTCCTGCAGGATTCTAGCAGCCAGATTACATAAATAGGCGCCAGGTCTGTGAGGAAGAAAATCATCTGCCACCACGATATCGCATCTGTCCCTAGCAATGAAGGGACGAAGAATGCAGCTATCCCGCGGAGGTTGTAATCAATTGAATGGACACCGAAATGTTTCCAGATGACTGGCATATGGGCCCCTTCTGGGCCAAATTTGTTCTGATCGAATCTGTCACGTAACAGGGCCATCGCATGGTCAAAATTCAGCCATTTTCGACAGTACCAGGAGAGCGCGAGAAATGGAAGGGCGAGGACTGCCCTGACGAGGCGGTTTTCTTGAAGAGTTGACATTCTGAGACGCGAAGAACAAGGAGTAAAAAAAAAAGTGATCAAAACAAGGTTCTTGAACATTGGGGCCCGTGTGTTCTTTATAGGATGGATGACTGACCATTTTGATCACTAGGATGAAGCTCCGTGTTACAGTGAGACCAACCAACACCTGCGACTCTTGGGAGCAGCATCCATTTGCCAAAATAGACGATTGCTGCATGACTGATAGTGTGGAGATTCTGAGAAACTATCACCAAAATGGCACATGGTAAAAGAGAAGCCATTGCTGGATAGTGAGCTGTTCACTGGGTTGGGGTTCGTTCAGTGTTTGTATTCAGATTGATGAGACATCTGCCCGTCACAATCTCCCCATCACAATCTCCACACCACCCTTGATAGTAGCGACGGTTTGTCAACAACATGAAAAGCGAGGATCATGATGAAAACATAAGCGACCGACCTCAATGACCAATCTGTTTTAATGCAGCAAGCAAGTCACCGTGACTGCCTTGAAAGCTTTTGGATATGGTCTTCATCTCATGACCACGTCAATTCTCGTCCTCTGTCATCTTTCGCCTTCTCAAAACTGACCATCGATTCCAACGGAACCGTATAAAATTTAAGTATAAAATAAAAGAAAGCTAATAAATATAATACTTCTCTTATTAAACTCGCTTATTAAAGAGATATAAATATATATCTCCTCTCTTTGTATATATAAGTTATACATATACACATATATTTATATACCTATAACACATATATATATACATATAACACACATATACACACATACACACATATCTATACACATATAACACACGTATACACACATACACACATACACACATACACACATATATATACACATATAGCACACCTATATACACACATAACACACATACACACATACACACATACACACATACACACATATATATACACATATAGCACACCTATATACACACATAACACACATGCACACATACACACATATATATACACATATAGCACACCTATATACACACATAACACACATAACACACATAACACACATAACACACATAACACACATAACACACATAACA